AGATATCATCATTATCATTTTGTGAAAGAATAGTCACATATTCAATCAATCAATCAAATTTTATTTATAAAGCGCTTTTCATACAAAAAGTGTAACACAAAGTGCTTTACAGTTTAGTTAAAAACGATCCAACATGCCCAGCCCTAAACCCTCCTCCCCACAGACCCCCCCAAAACCACATTTATAATTATATATGCAACCACATGCGTATACACACACACACATATACACACACACATATACACACACACACACACACACACACAGACACACACATACAAGTATAAAGTCATATCAGGTAAAATAGGTAAAACAATTAAAAAAAATGGGGCTGGGAGCAGATGTAACTGTATATTGTAACATACAATCTATATACAATACTGTTATCAATAAATATTAATGTCATTATTAATAATAATAATAATAATTATTATTATTGTTGTTATTAATGCATTAGACGTATCCCAACAGACTATTATAGAATATACATTTTGTGAACAAATCAGACCAGATTAAGTTGGATGTTATCTTTTGCATACCTGAAAGAAAGAGCCATATGAGTCACTAATGATAATTGATGCTTTGGTCTGATAAATGATTGGCTGAATGACGGTTGTCCTTTTTTAACTTTTCTGTTCGAAAAAGTTGATCTAAAGAAGTGACAGAGGCCTTGCATGCAGGTGAAAGATAGTGATAGAACCGTTATATTACATAGTTCATTTGTGTTTTGATGTTTGGGCATCCCGAGTTGGATTGTAATTATTAGCTTTGTATTTATTTTAGTTTTTTCTCCAAAATGCTTATTTTTATTCATACATTCCAGCTTATATGTCACAGTCAGACAGACCCTCTGCTTGAGGAAGTGACCAGGCAGTTGTTGACGTGTGACACAGATATAATGGGCTGCTCTCATTGTCACCTTGGAGGCAGCCTTTAGACCACATGATTAAGAACATACACTTGCGTCACAGGTTTCTCTAACATCCTGCTTTCAAGGCTGTGAATGCACCAACAGATAATGAAGAACCAAATATTGACATTTACAATCTAACATTTTAATATTATTATTGTCTTGTTTTACTGTTCTCAACGACTAGAGACATATTAAACACATACAACCTTTACAGTCTCTTGACCATAGATCTATCATGCCTGTACTTTCATAATGTGTGGTCTTCTCTCTAGTCTCCTATGAACCCAGCTCCACACAGCAGCGTAGTTTCTCCCCTTTGGCCAATCTGCTGAAACCATATCAAACCATGCCAGTTGATAGAATCCACTACAGTCACCTCTGCCAGGCAACACCAGATAATCCCACGAGAGCACGGCCCGCTCCTGTTTTGAAAAGGGAGACTGGCAGCTTGTCTTTCAAAGAGCCACATTTTTGGGCCCCATTCTATTTTAATGAAGTGGACAGGAATTCTAAAGGGCGCTTTGGGGTCTCCTCGGCTGTCCTTGATAGTCCCATCTCTGGCATTGCCGCACTCGTCTTGGGGCACTTGAGAGGAGCAGCAGCAGACCTACTGACAGCCAGGACAGGTGTGCGCAGACAGAGCACGGTTCATCGTGACTAAAGCCTCGTCCCAGGCACTCACACGACCAGCCAAGCTTCAAGAGGCTGAAACATGTTCTAGTAGAGTGTGGACTTGGGGAGTACTTCCACTGTTGACCCCAATTCATTATTAAAGCCAACAAGGCTCTCAGAGGAGGCACAGGGATGCTTATGTTGGATATCCCGGCTTGAGCTATTATGGTAAATGCTTAACGTACAACACATGTCACAGAAGCATATAAGAATGACATACTCAAGACTTTACTTCTTACTTACTTTTCTCTTCTTTTGGAAAAAAAAACACATATATGATGTTGAATTGTGCTTGGACATGAGCATCACAGAGGCTGCTTCCTGTTGCAAATTATAATTGGTGTAAATATTAGAAGAAAGAGGGTAAGAAGAATATGATCCCCTTTTTCCAAAGCTCACTTTATAATAGTATAAAATGAATACAAATATTTACTAATACACAAAGGACTAAGAATAAATATGTACATACAAATAAATTATACAAAATAATGACCTTTAAATTGCATTTAAAAAACATGTTTTTTTAAATGCATCTTAGAGGAACAAGGTGGTTCTTCTGTGAGAACCAACGGTTTATTGTGAAAACCAGTCATGAACTTACTTCAATGTCAATCATTGTCCCCAAGTTGAATGATGGACCTTTGACATGTATTAGAGAGCAGTGAAGATGCCAGGCTACTGTACTTCCTGTTTGTTGTGAAACCATGTGCTCACATGTCTGAGGCACGGCATGTCAAGACTGTGATAAGGAGGAACATAAACAGTAGAACTTAACAAGCATGCCACAAATAGATTGCTTAAAATATGAAAATGTCAAGAGGCTCTAAACGTTTAACTAGAAAACATTTTTCATTTAGAGCAGTGAGAATGAGAGGGGAGCAGTAAAACATGTAGAATCCCTGCTGCACGGTGGTCCTGTCACTCTGATTCACACATGCACTCACTCATATGATGGTCAGGCCTATTTACAGACGGGAACATGCTGAGCCTCCCTGAACACTGCTCTGTGAACACTGGCCGCCCGGGCCAGGTGGAAATGGAAGTGTCCAGAGGGCGTCTGATATTATGTCAGAACGCACAGCCCTCGTAAACACTCATGAGGAGAGGTCTGACACTCGAGGCTCTGCCCAGTAACTGCTCCATCAGAGTCTCACTGCTGTTGTCTGCGCTCAGCAGGATCTGTGATGTCACTAATATGGTGTAACAATTAACTGAAAATAAGGCCATACCTAAAAGTGAAAACCTGATCCTGTTAGATCTCAGAAGTCAAGTAGGAAAGGGCCTGGTTATTTCTGTGATGGGAGACCACTGGGTGGCAGCTAAGGCCCCAAAGTGCTTAACTGTCTTTGAGTCTTTAGGCAAGACACTTCACCCATATTGTTGAGTATTGTGCGTGTACATGGAATGTGGTGATGATGGTGGTGGTGAAGCACTTCTGCCAGTTTAACTCATTATAGCTGTGAGTCTTTGAGTGTTTGAAAAAGCATCCATCCATTTTCTTTACCTTAATTTCCTGAATTAATATTCATACAATATTAACACTGCAGTTGATTATAATGACTGGCAAATAAAGCTTGTGGTACATAATGGTCCCCTTTATCTGCTAAAAACTTGTGACATGGTGTACCTTGCATATACTTATATAGGCTTATGGAATTATTTTAGCAGTCTAAATGCCACAATGATATGAATGGAATAATAATTTGGCCACACTACATAAAAATATTGAACTTTAACTGCACATGATGTTACACAACTGCGACCATGATGCAACCTATTTTACTGGGTGCCTTGTCTTAAGAGGTAAGTGAACGTCATGGTCTCCATGGTAAAGCTTCAGCTGTCCTGTGTGTCTTGTCTTTGCCCTCTGACATGTGACCAGCACATATGACCACAGCAGGACATGCTGTGCCAGGCGCTCACAGAAATACACTACTGTCTTCATGCAGGCTCTGGACAAGTCGTGGCAGCAGCTTGGCAGAAGCTAAAGTACCTCTAGTTAAAATACCTCGCAAGAGGTGCCAATTTGTAAGACAGGCTCCCATTTTTGCACCTACTTGAAAAGCATGACAGAAAGTACAGCGACATCTGCAAGTCTCAAACATGTTAAAGGCAGTTTAAAAAAAAAAAACAAAAATCAAAAATTATATTCACAAAAATGACCACTATCATTATCACTTATCTTTAATAACTGATGCTAGTATTGTTCTTAGTAGATAGGTGAGTTCTATGTGCATGACTATCAGTTCAAATAAAAATATAATGTTAATTCAACAAAAGAAAGAATTTGGAAAGGATTTGGCTCAAACAGAGAAGCCTATCTGCCCCTCCTTCTCTTTATTTATACCCCAAAGACAGCAGGCTAAGATTTCTGGCACCAAAACACACGTCACGCTTGCTATTTCAGTCCGAAGTGCCACATAGCTATGAGGTTGGGTGACAGGACTGAGGCATCATGGGGCCAAGGCACTTCCGCACACTTGCTTTTACATGACATTTCACACTGATGGCCCTTTGTCCAGAGCACTCATTCATTCCTGTATGTGAGGCGTGTAGGCAGCTCTGTCTAATCACTATAGAACCCAGTAGGAACCAACATCAGCGACTGTGGTGAGGTTTTTTCACACTTTCGATGGCGCAGAGGTGACAGGAAAACCACAGTGTTGATGTAGGATTATGAGGCGCAAAATACAGGGCTGGAAATGTGATCCCCAGCCTTTGATAGTGTGGTAGTAAATCTAGTTTTATTTATTTATTCATTCATGAAAGTCAAAATCCACATAGTTGCGATCAAGATGAATTGGCATATTCTAGAAAAATACAGAAGTAATCATTGACTAAAGCGACTAAAACAGTTCACCCTTATTGAGTAAGCAGATAGTTAGTGATGACATGTTACAAGTAACATTGGTGGAGAAGGGATACAACCTGACGTCGGCATGCTGGAGCTGCTGGTGTCAAATGTCCATAGCTCCAGCAAGTAGTCAATCATCAGACATACTCAGAATATACTCAACAACTAAAAGTATAACAATGACAAATAATTTGATGACATCACATCTTTATTTACATGTAAACTAACAAGAAAAACAATTAAGTTATACTTTCTTGATTTCTCACATTTATAACATTTTAACATTTTACATGCCAATGTACAATATTATACAGTAAACACACAGTTTGTGGTGCTGTTGGTTTCAGCACACACGTTAAAGACATATGTGCATGCACCCCATAGGGCTACATGCTTCAAGCTAAACCACATTGAACTTATAGAAAAAGACAGAAATCAAACCTTAACAAGAAAAGTAAAGAAGGTCAGTGTTAGAAAAGCCACAGCCTGAATGAAGAATGTTGTTGTTGAGTAAAACAGTTCAAAGTGTCTATTTACAGAAGCAGAGCTGCTGCAGGAGGATCACATGATGACAGTCTCTGTGTGCAGAGAATATGGGATGAAGTTCCGATGTTTGGGTGCAGGGCTTGGGGTCCTGGTCAGGGGACTGGGGGTCCTGGTCCGGGGACTTGGTGGTCGGTACAATGGGCCTGATGCGGTGCTGTTTCTGGCAGGGGCCCGACTGGCCCATCTGGATGGGGGCCTTTGGTTGGCTGGTCGAGCTGGCCTTGAAAAGTTCTTTGGTATTGAAGTTAAATTCTCCTGGAATGAGAAGAAAGACATTAGAATAGTTTCTGTAGTTGATTTTAATGTACTGGTCCAAACCGAACGTACCTTGTCTGTGTCCTGTCTGTAAGTGCTGTTGCTGGAGCTGTATTCATGTTGGATGTCGAGCATGTCCAGTAACTCAATGAGTCCTTCGTCCCTCATCCCGGTCCTCTGTCTCGATGAGTTACCATTTAAAGCAGTGTAGTCCATTTTGTGCTCCCCCTGGTGGGCAGGTGGCCTCCTCGCTCTGTCTTTATCTGCTGAGCTGTAAGCTCGAGGCCGGGGTTTGGGGCTGCCCTGTACCTGGGGCCTGCGCAGAGCCTGCTGTGGGCTGGGCTGGCCTTTGGAGGCAGTGTAACCTCCTCTCTGATCCTTTTGCTGTCGGCCACAGTCTGTAGCTGAGGGACCTTCTTGGCTGATGTCTGCTTCTGCTGTCTGCACATCACAATCAGCTTGGCATTTCTGTGTCGGCACACGTCCTGGCATCCTTCCTCCTAGAACTTTCCGCTGACAGCTGGGGGTGGGGCACTTTGGCTCTGGGGCCTGAGGCGACACCACTCCGGACTCAGTGAGAAGTTTGCCCTCATTTTCATGGAGCATGGCTCCAAACTTCCTGAGCACTGAAGGGCTGCCCTTCATGTCTACGAGCCCGGCTGGACCAAAACACTTTCTGTCCAGAGCTGGAGATTCAGTTGGTCCTACTTGACGTGGTTGTGCTTCTCTCTGTTTTAAAGGGGGCTTCCCACCTCCATTTTCTTTATTAATTGAACCTTCTTTGCACTGAGACACACGATTCTTCTTGTTTTCATTCTCTACAAAGCTTTCAAAAAACTGTTCTTGGCCAGTCCTGTGGAGTAGACAAAAACATTTTCATAATGTCTAAAGATGCAGCTTTGAGAAAACCACATGTAGAATGAAAATCTTTACCGTGCACTTCCTGATGTAGTTTTCCCGTCGTCTTTGAAACAAGGCACATCTGAGCTCACTTTGATTGTGTCGCTAAAGCGCTGCAATAACAGAAAAGCACATTTTGTCACTATATTTAAATGTTATGACACAAGAAGAATATGATCTCACAATTTAGAGGTACGCATAACCAACATGCACCTCAGCTGACCCCTCATCACCACTCAATATAGTTCAACTATTCAAATACTGAGCTTTAATCAGCACCTCATCTGTCAAAAAACCCAGAGGCAGGAGATAGGTTGGAGAAGTAAGAGAAAGTGAACTCAGGCAGTAGAGCCAGACCTGAAGGAACCAGCATACTGTAATCAATATGCTGCCATTGCCCAGCATCGACTCGAGTCACATGCACTTCTCTGGTATCACCCACAGATGCCAACACCAGGAGCCAACACGTACCACATGACGCACTGCATTGTTCTTCCGGCTTGCTTGCTTCCTGTGTCCTAAATAGTCCTGTAGAATGTCTCCGATCTCCTGTATGCCATTGTTCTGACAGTATCCAAAGCCATTCTGGTTACTGTCCGGGTATTTGTACCCATTGCAGCCATTGGAATAGTGTTGATGACTCCTGGGTCCAATCTGTCTCAGTTCACTGTCTTTTTCCCCGTCGTTCTTTTGGCTGTCATTGGTGACATCATTAGCTCCTCTTCTAGCCTGGACTTCGTTGTACAACTGTGAAAACACAATAAAAGTTTGAAGATATTAGAAATAGAAATGGTTACCAATATTAAATGGCCAATCCACACAATTTTTCACTGCTCATTTTTACAAGCATGGATTTAAAGTAGGTAAGCAAGCAATTGAGTAATCTTTATGTACATACGGTCTAATTTAGTGTCTAATTTACATTTGATATCCTTTCATATTTCATCCAGCGTCACATTTCAGACGTGTGTACATGTTCTCGAGTGTGTGAGGGGCTGAGAGCCGAAAGGAAGTTCTGCTAGTCTGTCAGCGCAACACTGTTTAATTAGCTTGTTAACATTTGTCTGTATCACTGCTGCAACAAGGTCATAAGGTTGAGTCAGTTAGAGCCAGTTAGAGCACTGCCAACAGTTTATTATGGAGCACAGGACACACACATTACTCTCATTAACACTGGTCTGAGGGGTGATGAAACGTCAAATCTCAACTATTTTCATCTTATCACATAGACAAAAAAATGTAGATTCCATCAATTAAAATAATGCCATTGCATTTCTTTGTTTTAGTCACACACCAAGATGACACTGTGTAACAAAATGTACCTCTTCAATCTTCTTCTGGATGTCTTGTAGTTGGTCTTCCCATTCTTGCATTTCCGAATCAAAGTTGTCCATGAGCTCCGGCCTCTCCTGTCCCCATCCACGACCACTGTGCTCCAGCCCACGCTCCAGATCAATGGCTGCCATGACGCAGGGCCACACGACACCTCCGGGGCTTTTCAAAAATGCTAATTTCCCCTTTCTCCCGTTGCAGTGAGCTGTCAGGGGTCACTGTGGGTTTATCAGTCAGGAGCAAAGGGATCGATGGCCTGGAAATTCTATATTGACAAATACATGACAGAAAACAGGTTTAGTAACCAGTGAAAGTCAGATTATAAAACAACTGAATCTCCATAACCCTTACAGATGCTGTTGTTATTATCAGAATCAGAATCAGAATCAGAATCAGAATCATTTTTATTGCCACGTAAGTAACAGGAGGTCACAGACTTGGAAATTGCTTTGGCTCAGTGCAACAGTCAGAAAGAGATAATAAAAATAAGAATAAAAAACACTTCTAAAGAATAAATTTAAATTTATATTTATATTTAGGCCCATGTATGTGGCACATGTGGCGCTCTGCATGACAGCATCTCTGTTAGACTTGTGATCAATTTGACCTTCAGCCTCCTTCAGGCCATGAGGAGAATATATTCCAAGCATGCGGTGGGCCTTTACCTCTAACCTGACCCAAAGCTGTTTGCATGGTGCCCTCGTAAGGCTCAAGGCATGCACCTTGTTTTACACATAGTTTACCCCTAACGGCTCCATCAAGAGTTAAAATACACAAGTGCTCAACGCATGAGTCAACATGGCCTCATTACTCATTTTTCTCAAGAACAGTCTGTTATGTAATGCCAAATACCCATGGTAAATGAAAGATAGCACCAGTTAGAACATGCTGTATTTAGAATGGGGTCCCCAACATTCAGAAGCCAGTTTCTCTGACACTGAATGATGTTTAATAGAGCTCAAATGTACGAGAGCCAACTCCCACCTGTGATGCAAGACCTGAGATATTAATAATCTTGTAACTACGCATAGTAAACCTTGCAAAAGACGACAGGGGGACAACATTGGAAATTAGCTACAAAGCTCCACTGTGTATTTACAGGGTTAATTACAAAATAATTAAAAACTCTAAACATACAACAGTGTCTACAATGTGTTACCAAACATATTGTAATACGTCTAGATAAAAGCGATTTCATTCCGGTAACCAATTTAAATTTCTTTCTTTGTCCAAAAATATTAGTTGAAAAACAAGGTTTAATATGTAATAAAATAAACAGCTCATTTCAGTCAATAATAAATGTCCTGACATAGTCCAGTTCTTACCTGAATGAGAGTATAATAAACAGTATTTTAAATCCGTAGTGTTGTTGTCTGCATCACAGGCTCTGCTCTTTCTTCCAAAAGCTTGTCCAGCGGTCAGACTGTCCACTCTGCTCTGCTTCCTCTCCGTTCCTCTGTGCTGCTACTTGAAGCCGCGTACTTGGTTTAAAAGAGCCCAGGCTTCCACATGTCCAAGTTATGTCCGCTGCGCAATAGAGGGAAACAGCTCTGTGATCCAGCCGGGTGCTCTGTCTTTATACCACTCCCCACTGTTTACGTGGGCGCGCCATTGGAGCCAGTGTCAAGTGTCATAATGTCAAATTTATTCGAGCATTTGAAGTCTAGATGGGACAACTGTCGTCACCACCATCCTTGCTATAATTACCAGGACGCACGGAGAGAGGGAAAGTGTTTACATGGATGTTACAGCTGCTGCGCCTGCTCGGCCAATCAGCGTTACTGTTGCTACTCCACATTGAGACCCATGGGCAGATTTTGTCCTGTGAGAAACGGAGGACACAAATCACTTTTCCAAAGGAGCGTGGTGGTGCCCCTCTGGGGGGTGACACCGTGAGTCATTGTGTGAGTCAGGCACTACAATTTTGAACAAACAAAGTTCAAAGAGCTACATGTGTGCAAATATAATGTTAGGGTTTTCAAACTAGATACAAAATAAAAAAAATCTTTTGATTGAGCATGTTGTCCCCAAAAAAGTAATATGATTTTGAGTTAACTGTTTTAAATTATCCTTCTTTTTTCTAAATATTCACAGTGATCTCAAAATTGTTATCAAGTATTTTTTCCCAAATCAAAATCACGTTTCAAATGCAGCATTGTGAAAACAAAAGATTGTGAAAATGTCCATACCAACAACTTCTTGATTCATGCACCAGACTTTTGCTTCTGTTCATCATTACCACCATTAATTAACCATTAATTACTGCCATAATCACAGGCCCACTGAGAAATGCACGGCATCCGGACAAGATCTGACATTTGGCAAAGGACACAATCTTTGGAGTTCCTTCCAGTTGACATTCCAGGGATCATTGTCATAATTTGCACCTGTTCTGTTCCTCAACACATGACAAGCACAGTCCCTAAGCAGTTTAGAGGTAGGATTATGGAAACCCTCTGGTTACCTTTGAGGACAGCAGCTGGATGGCACACAGAGGAAAGTCCTGCAAAAGAGAGTCATAATAAACATGTTGCTGTTGTAATCTTAGCAGCGAGGTTAAAGGAGGATAAAGCTGCACACAGAGATGATTAGGCTGATTTGTGACCCGAGCCTCAATGCCAAGCACTCAAGTTGTTGTTTTTGCCAACAAGCCGTTACTTAGAGTGGAAATCATCCATCATCATGTCACAGTTACAAATAAAGAAATAATTTACGACGTTGTGTGTCATATGAACAGAGCATTAATAGAATCATGAAATAATGCACAAGCTGGAACCATTATTTTGGCCACTAATATATATATATACAGTACAGACCAAAAGTTTGGACACACTTTCTCAATCAATGAGTGTCCTTTCTTTTCATGCCTATTGACTGTAGATTCACACCCAGGCTGTGTAAGGGCTATTTGACCAATAAGGAGAGTGGTGGGTGCTGGGATTAGATGACCTCCACAGTCACCGGACCTGAACCCAATCCAGATGGTTTTGGGGTGAGCTGGACCACAGAGTGAAGGGGAAAGGGCGAAAGGACAGTATATATATATATATATATATAAATAATGAACCCTCAAGCTCCCAGGCCTCTGGTAGAGGACCCGAGCTTAGAGAGGGATAACCGCCCGCGGAGGGCCAAAGGTGAGTGGACAATGTTTTTTTTTTTTTTATATATATATATATATATACATACATCTATATATACATTTTTAGAATAGTCTTATTTAAACAAAGGGATTTACTGGGTACAGTTTTGGGGGAAATTAGCTGTATGTCTCTAAAAACAAAAACATATATCAATAATGTAATTTCATGCTTTAGAAAGTGAAATTTTGTAGTATATATGAAGAGTAAACATTTCTTTCTGTGTAACTCCTTTTGCTACCACCAGAGGGAGGAGATTAACACAGCTTTTGATGAGGGAAAGCTCAAGAAATGTTATTTAATAAGTCTGCAAAGCAAGACGCATGATGAACAGAAATGACAAAAAGGTTGCAAACAACAATTCCATATTTTTTTTAATCGACAGAAACTTTAAAACACATGTATATTGTGTCAGAACCATAGACTGTATATAGATGGACTTTGCTAACCTCCTTGCTCAACAAAGGCTAATAGGGACATTCTCATGGATGAAGTTTGGCTCCAACTCGCTCTGAATCCTATTGACTTACATTGAAAAGTAAACTTCTCTAGCTCAGTTACTGTTTATGTCACACTGACCATTTTGGCCTTTACAAATCTATGGTTTAGCGTTCTCTTCAATCCTAGTGTTTATAATGTCAAAAAAATGACCAGGATATGTAGAAAGCACTCTAAGAAACATATGTATGCAGTTTATGAGTAAAAAAAAGTTGATTTGGTGTTTAGTTGTCCTACTGTAGGAGTGATGTCGGTCAGTCCACACACTCTTATACGGTCTATGGTCATCACAGAAAAAGTTGAAACCCTAAAAGAAGCAGCATGTTACTCACCTTGTTGGTCTTAGGCGGTTCCGTTGGGGGTTTTGAATTCAGCCACGTGCTGTTGGGTTTGTGAGTGTTTTTTTCAAACGAAGAGCTTTTCCTGAGCTTTTTGTGACCTTATCAAAACATAATGTGGCAATAGGGATAATAAACAACAGATAAAACAAAACAAAAAAAACAAACATGGAAATGGTATAAAGGGGAAGTGTTTGTTACAGGACAAAGAATAGAGTGAAGAGAAAGACTAGTTTGAAGATGGTGGCGTATGACAAGGAGGAGAAGAGCACAAGAATGAGGATGAGCAAAATAATAGGCTGGAACATCTGGGTGAAGACAATGAGGACAAAATGGTTGAATGGGGCAGGGGAAAACAGAATTAGTGCACTGGTGGAAAATACTGTGCAAACACGTACGTTCATTCCCATTGGAAATATATGGCCAGATACATGCACTAAGATTTTAATTATACTTATGTTTGGAGCTGCTAAATTGTAAGGTACAAGCAAATATTTAAAAAAAAATTCCTTTGGGGATCGTCTACATCCTAATTAATTGAGAAACATTTATTGTGATGTACTATATAATGTGACAGAACCGGCACAGGCTCATACTTGAACCATATAAATCCAAGAGGAGACTTTGAGGAGGTTTTCTTACCGACAAAGGTTCGTCCGCTTCTCTGTCATCCTGCCGCGGCACTTCCAGCCTCTCAATGAAGCTCTGAAGTTCTTTCTTGAAGGCCTTCATTTGTGCATTAATGCGATAAAGCAGTTCGTGTTCCCTGATCCTGCCGTCGTCCTCTGCTCCTTCCTCCCCTCCTCTCCTGAACATTAGATCTCCATTTGAGACGTAAACCCTAGCCTCCGAGATGATGGTGGCCGTATCTGCAATTAGCCGGTCTATCGTCCGCACCAGTCTCTCTGCTTCCACCTGAATGTCGATCATCTGCTGTCTCTCCCGTAGACTACAGCGGGCGCCGGGTAGAAAGCGAGACAAAGCAGAAGGGGAAGAAGCAGCGCCCTCTGGCCCGGTGGGAGTGTAAAAACCACGCGTCGGTGTGAGGCATCTGCTGCTACTGCCGTTGTTGCGGACCTCATCTGAGTCGCTCTCTCCCCCCACGGGCCCCTCACGTTTGCGATGAGGCGGGAGGAGTCTGGAGGAGGGAGAGTCGTCATCACTCTCACGCCGGCCGCTGGGTCCCCCTCCTGCGTCGCTGTCTGCATCGCTGTCCCTGGGGCTGGGGCGCAGGGACAGGTGAGAGGCCAGGTCATAGCGCTGCATGTTGGACAGCAGCACGCGGTTCTCATACTGCAACTGCATCACCTGGAAACACAGAGAGACACTGTAATGTTGATACAGCCTTATACAGACAGGACTAGGGCCGTATGTAGCCCTGGGGCCGCAATTTGGTCTGTTTTCAAGTACTTTTTGTATTTTGTACATGCCCCAGCCAACTCTACATGCCACATTGGGAAACAAGCCAGGAGCAGTGGACTGGGACGGACCATTCCTAGTCCACACTGAGTGTCAACTTGGTCAGAACTATTGTAAACCACTAATACATTTTAATTTAATCTAATAATCAGTCCCTAACATTCAATTTCAAGTATAAAAAGTAAGTAAGTAATCTTTGTATTTTAACTATGGACTGTATTGTATTGTGCCCTTAATAAAGATAAAGATAATAATAATAATTTGTGAATTCCAAACCTTTCCACTGAGGTCATTGATCTGCAGCCTGGCCGCCTTCAGCTCCTCCTGTAGGGCCTCTGTTTTTGCCGTGTCAATCCCAGAGCCTCCGGCCCCATGTCGTCCTCCTTCGTGAGTCCCAGCCTTGAACTTCAGTTTGTTGAGTTCTGAAGTCACTCTCTGGTTCTGCTCCTCAACATCAGCCAGGTTCCTCCTGAGCAGCTCGGCCTCGTCCTCCACCAGCTGCAGCTGCTGTCGGAGCTCCGTCAGGTCGTCCCCGAGGCCTCGGCCCGAACCCACACCTCCCATCCCCCCATCACTGCCACTCACTGCCCCCTCGCCCTCACCACGCAGGTCATCCAGCTCTGCTCTCAGCCCACGATTCTCCACCTATTGTAGACAACCAAACAAATAACATAGTAACCTCTTAAGGTATTATGCAAAAGTTTCACGTTTAATTTCTAAATTACTAAATAATTACTTACTAATTTCTACCATTTCCCATGCATATTTAAATCTATCTATAATGCAATGAACGTCTGTCGACAGTGTTTCCGGGAGGTCTGCATGTCTGATATGCCCATAACTCTGTCAGCTCGACCTAAGCTTTAAGGTAAGTTTTGAGCATGGCACAAGGTGTGCATCCTTTATTTCTCAGTCTTTTGGTGATTGTTCATTACATTTCTTTACAGCAATGTGCTGAAATACAACTTAGAACAAGAACAAGTAAACATTGAGGAAGCATGGTGCTATCCGTGCAATCAAACATGAAAAAGCCAGTGTCTCTGTAGCAAAAATACACAATCAAAGGAGAGCAGGTTAATCAATGAAATACTGTATGTTGCAGTTCCAGGCTGCCTTTATTAAATACTATTAGTTACCTTTCATATTGAATACTGCAATACTTATGTGTTGTTGCACAGAGCTGTTGCACCTGAATTGGTAAACTATTGTTTTTGCACAGTTAAAACTCTTCTGCTGGACCAAGTCAGAGCCAGATGTACTTATTGTGATTATGATTGTTATTTTGTAACATAAAATAAAATAAAAAAATCTTTTTACTTTGTATTCAACTTGAAATAGTAATTTTGTGGTGCGACCACTAGTAGGCCACAGAGTAAAAAACTGTTAAAGATCCCTCCACTACAGGAATTCATACTTTCATATGAATACTGTCTGTGATAGTCCAGACATCAGAGATCTGGTTCAATAGAGCTGTGAAATCCCACCGTCTGGAATCATGAGGTGTGTGTGCACTTTGCAGCTCCATAATGTAACATATTTTACACTATGGTGATTACTCATAAGAAGGTAAAATCCACACAAGAACATTCATCTTACCTCTAACTCTACTATTTTCCTGCCGAGTATATTTGCCTCCTCCTCCACCAAGCGGAGGCGCAGTTTGAGCTCAGACTCGCGGGTGGTGGGTGGACCCCCGGCTTCTCCTTTGGGATGGGTGCTGTCCAGTTCACCGTAGAAGGAGCGATACTTCTGCAGCTCCTGCTCCAGACGGTCCTTCTCTTTGTCAATCTTAGCCGCCTTCTTCCTCATGAGCACGGCCTCCTCTTTGATTAACGACATCTGACACTTCAGGTCCTCATTGTCCTCCTGAAGAAAGCAGATCTCTACAGTCAATCATATGGTTCCTGGTGTTTCTTTTTAAACACATATCATGTACATTTATGTAGAAACACCTCTCGATGCATTTATTTTTAATGGTTATAATTGTGGTTTACTTTCAACCTTTAACCCTAAATTTTCAGACATAATAGTAATGATTATTATTATTATTCTACTGCTACTTTTATGAAACAAAACAAAATATATTGCAGTACTCCATAATGTAGTATTTTGATTCCTGGGAAAAGTAGTTCTGTGCACAGCCATATATCATGTGATCAAGAGGATGCTTAAGTTAAAGCTCAAGTAATTGCTCAGGCTTTCCAAACCGCAGATTTTCTTGCTCAAAGGAATTACATAATCTAAAAGTATGCGCAACACAGCAAAGAAATCACCAAAAAAAGGATGGAAGTAATGCATATAGTACTGTATATAGATTTCAGTTAAAAAAAACATGCATAAAATGTCCCAGAAAAAAAGATGTCGAACTATTGCAGTTCAAATGAGGCTAAATCTACTGGTGCTATTGGAACTTATTACTATTATTCTCTCATTTAGATCACGTTGTTTCAGATTCCAGTTTTAATATTCAAGACTGTGTTGTATGTATGTTTTCTGATCCTCACCTCAGTTGGAGTTCTCTTGTCGGTCTTCTGGACGTCTTTACTTCCTCTTCTCTTCTGCAAGTGCAAAGACTTTTAACTACTAGATATTGTAATCTTCAACGTGCCTCATGTCCAACCACTGACGTACTGCACCTCTTTGCTTTTATCCAGCTCATTTTGCAGAGCTTGTTTTGCCACTTCCACTTCTAGAAGTTTCTGTCTCAGTTTTTCGTTCTCGTCTTCGGTCTTGGTGCGTTTCTCCTCCACTTTCTCCAGCTCGTGGTGCAGCCTCACAGACACGTCCTTTGCCACCTGCAACAACCATTGTGTTCATTCAGTGCTATATGCGTGTTTTAATGTCCTTCCCCTTTATCAACAGTAGACAATGGGACTACATGGGGAAATGCTGAGTCACTATTATGGCGATTAAAGCTGGGGTACCTAACTTTTCTTGTTTCATGAATAATACATGGTGATTGGCCCAACAGGAAGCGTCACATGTGTCTTAAAAAAAAAATTTTGTGTCTGAAAAAACTGATCTGACCAAAAATACATACAGTTGAGCTAGTGATAGAGCCATAGTAATGTTTCGAGAGCGAGAAAATAATTAAATTATATGGTTTTTTGTGGTTTGAAAGCTAAGGAACCCAGCTCTAATGTTAACAATGACATGAGTAAAAGCAATGTAGACATCATGTTAGACTTTCAATAATAAGTTGCATGAATTATGAGATGACTGTGTTATAATAATAATAATAATAATGCATCAGTTTTATATAGCGCTTTTTTGGAGACTCAAAGACGCTTCACATGTGTCATTATTCATTCACTCCACACACGGTGGTGATAAACTACTGGTGTAGCCACAGCTGCCCTGGGGCACACTGACAGAAGCGAGGCAACCAATATGTGCCATCGGCCCCTCTGACCACCACCAACCATTCACACGCACACCAGACTCATTCTAGGCAATGGGGGTGAAGTGTCTTGCCTAAGGACTCAACGGCAGTTTGGCACTTTACAGCCGCAGCCGCCCCACTGTGGCTGGTGTTCCCAGAGGTTAAGTGTCTTGCCAAGGACACAACGACAGTAGTCAGTGGGAGTCGATGGTGAATCACTCCTTCACTGTATCCAACAGATCAGTGATTGGATGCAAAATAACTTCCTTCAGCTAAACGCAGACAAAACAGAATTGATTGTCTTTGGTCCTCAGAAACAAAGAGAGAGCGTTATTCGTCACCTCCAGTCTCTCTCCCTGGAACCTGTAGGCAAGGTCAGAAACCTAGGAGTTATAATGGACTCAGACTTAAATTTTAACAGTCATATCAAATCAGTAACATCAGCAGCATTTTACCATCTGAAAAACATTGCCAAAATTAGAAACATAGTGTCTAAATCAGATCTGGAGATTCTCATCCATGCATTTGTCTCCAGTAGGTTAGACTACTGCAATGGCCTGCTCACAGGTCTCTCCAAACAGGCTGTAAAACAGCTGCAGTATGTCCAAAATGCTGCAGCTCGAGTCCTGACCAGGACCAGGAAATATGACCACATTAGTCCAGTTCTCAGGTCTCTGCACTGGCTTCCTGTGGCTCAGAGAATAGACTTCAAAGCAGCACTGCTTGTGTACAAGTCTCTCCATGGCCTCGCACCAAAGTACTTAGGCGACTTGTTAGTGCCATATGAACCGGCCCGGACTCTGAGGAGCACAGGAGGTAGCCTCTTACTTGTTCCAAGAGTCAGAACTAAACATGGGGAGGCAGCGTTTGAGATTTATGGAGCTAAAATCTGGAACAATCTTCCTGAGGATGTGAGGCTAGCATCTACTCTGGCAATTTTCAAATCAGGGCTAAAAACTGTTCTTTTTAGCTGTGCATACGGCTGAAGGATTTTATTGATACATACTCTTTTTTTTAATGCATTGTGGTTATTTATTATTTTAATCCCGTGTGTGCTTTTAATATTTTAAGGTTTTTTTCATTACTTGTGATTTTATTCTGTTTTTAATGTATTTATTGTTTGTATATGTAGTTTTTGATGTTTCTGATTTGTCTGATATTATGTGGGTTGTGAGGCGCTTTGAGTGGCCTTGTGTTGGAAAGGCGCCATACAAATAAAGTTGATTGATTGATTGATTGAAAGTCTTGAGCGGGGCTTGAACCCACGACCTTCTGGCTCAAAGGCCAACGCTATAAATCAGATCAATGGTTGAATCTGCAAGAAGCATTACCACGGTTACCACATTTCCAGGAACAAGTTGTTGAGTTGAATAGAGTTAATTCATTATAACATTTTAGATTCAGAAACATGAGAGAAAGACCAGAGGGAGAGACCAGAGAGAGACCAGAGGGAGAGAGAGACCAGAGAGAGAGAGAGACCAGAGAGAGATACTGGAAGAGACTAGAGAGAGAGACCAGAAGAGACAAGAGAGAGAGAGACCAGAATAGACAAGAGAGAGAGACCAGAGAGAGACTAGAGACAAGAGAGAGAAACCAGAGAGAGACCAGAGAGAGAAACCAGAGAGACCAGAGAGAGAAACCAGAGAGACCAGAGAGAAGTGAGAGAAACCACCGAGAGACCAGAGAGAGACCAGAAGAGACAAGAGAGACTAGAGACAAGACAGAGAAACCAGAGAGAGATCAAAGACAAGAGAGAGAAACCAGAAAGACCAGAGAGAGAGACAAGAGACAAGAGTGAGGGACCAGAGAGAGAGACCAGAGAGAGAGACCAGAGACCAGTGAGAGCATGAATGGCAGTAGAAGTACAGCTTCAGCCTGTTTGAACTAAACAAAACATTTTTTAGACATTGGTAGATTTTGCAGTGTTTGTAAAGCGTGAACGTTAAAATTATGCGATTATGATATTATGATATGAAAATGATATGATCTGCTGTACTTTGAGATCCTGCTCCAGGCTCCTGAGCAGTTCTTCGTCGACCTCCCCTGTCTGGGCGAACCGCAGCCTCTTCCTCTCTGCTTTCCTCAGCCGATACTGAAGGATTCGGCAGTTTTTGTTGGCTCGCTCCAGCTCACGCCTCATCTCCTGCAGCTGACACGTGTCCTCCTCGTAGAAGGTGTCGCGCATCTCGTCCATCTCGGCTCTCATCTCCTCGATCTCGCACTGCAGAAAGAGGCCGCCATACAAACAGTTTACAGCTGGACCTTTCTTTCCTGAGTTTGTGCTTAGTAATTACAAATGATGCGAATGAAGAGTCTGTACTGTTCACATGTGAGGCTGTAAAAGCAGTACATTTGTCTGGTATGGAAGAATTAAATAACTTATTACAGGTATCATTCATTCATTCATATCTGTATTTGAACTTAATGTCTCTGTTCACTGTCCCTTTCATATAAAGACTAAATTAAACCTTTTTAAGCAAATGTTTTAATGTTTTTGCAATTCCCCCCACCCCCTTTATTTTGTGATTACAACACAAGGACAAGACACAACCATTAACAGCAACATGTGTGGTATTTGCACGAGTGTGTGTGGTTCAAAAAAATATAAAGTGGAAATAAATAAGTTATAACATAAAAATAACACAAAAAAATGTCTGGAACTTTTGCATCATTTTATCATTGTCTAATCAATGTTATTTATTATTTTGTTCAACTTTTGATTCATTTTTTCCCTTCTTTTGTTTGTTCAATTAATTAAATAATAATTGATGCAAAACAGACAAAAGATGGAATAAAGTTTGGATCTCTAAAAATGTCATTGAAAGTGTAATTATTAGGCATAGGGTAATTTGTTAAATGTAAAAAGTAATTTGTTGTTATTTCATTCTGCTGTTATTCTTTGGAATTTCATTATAAAAAGGCATACACTGTTTTGCATACACATGGAATGACGCCTGCACTCGTTTAATGAAATAAATAAATAAAACACCTGGCACAGGTGTGGGTTGAAGGCACATTCGTCCTCACGCTGTGGCATTGCCCGACAGTGAAAGTGTTTTGGAGTGCAGTAACTGACAGACTGGGCCACATGATTGATGTGCAGATTCTCCCCTGTCCTCTGCTCTGTACTTACTGAAGAACACAACTTTTTCACCTAAAAATGTAAACAATATTATATCAATGCGTTTCTTGTCTGCAAAACGTAACATCCTGGAGAAAACATTTTATTGACTTACTTTCCATGGAACAAGCTGCAGTTCTATTGACAACAACTTTGAAAGGACTGAAGTTGGCCCATGGACTATATGCGTGTGAACATATAGTGCACACAGGATGTCAACTAACGTAAATGAATGTACTTTTCACGATGAACACCCCCCCCCCAAAAAATGATTCACACCTATGTATGTATGTGTGTATACTGTATGTCTGTATGCTTGTGGGTGTATGTAAGTGAGTAAATATGTGTACTTCTTTATGGTATCTTTTTGATAAAATAAATACATGAATAATAATAATAAAAAAGTGCATCCTCACTAAACAATCTAAAAAATGACAAAGTGAAGACTTACAATCTTGTCTGGGGGAACTTGTCCTTCATGGCATGTCAGGGCTATTTTATCAGACAGAAAACCCTGCCTGGCCACCTCCATCAATGCATGACACATCAATAACAGTGTCTGCTACTACCATCCTGTTAGATCCCTGCAGTTTGGTTGTAATTGTTTAGATGGGTTCAATCGTGACTCTGGTATATGTGTGTCTCAGTAAATAAAGATGCAGACATAGCTGAGTAATGGTTAAGTTTGTTGCAATGGCCATCTCTACATCTGCACCACCCAAAAGCCCGAGGCCTAGGAGCAGGCAGCATCACTTCCAGTCTGTCTACATAGATGTCTAGTTTATGACATATTCCAGGTAAGTAATGCAAAACCACCTGAATAATCTGACAAACCTTGAGATCATCGTTTTCGTCCAGCAGCCTCTCCATCTCGTCGAGAAAGGCCTGGTCCTGCTGTGTCACGGACCCCGCCTCAGCCATGGCCGCCTCCTGCTCTGCGCACGGTTCTGTTTTGGTCTGCATCCTGTGGGCTTCTAATGGCTCTGATCACACTCGAATACGAATGATGGAGTTCAGAGTTTGTGCATGTTCTGTCTGTCTTCTGTCTGTGCAGATGTAGCCCAGCTCTGCAGCCCACTGACCACCACTAACCACCGCACAATCGCTTTCTCAGAGACCGTGCTTTACCCGGATACAGACCTCCAGGAGGAGCGGAAAGAGTCTATGGTTTAAGGCCGCGGTGGTCGCCTCTTCTCACCGGTGCTGTACTCGCGGAGAGCCGGTGTCAGCATCCGTGTGTGAGGCTTTGAAACATCAGTTCCAGCCTCTCCCTCCTTCTGTTGCGCTCTCGGGCTCCACCTGCAGGCCGCCTATGGTATGTGCACCTCTGCTCTCGGGCTCCACCTGCAGGCCGCCTATGGTATGTGCACCTCTGCTCTCGGGCTCCACCTGCAGGCCGCCTATGGCACTTGTAAACCCCATGGATCTATAATAATAACGGTAAAACCACCCATTCCTCCTCAGTGTCAGTTACTCGTTTTCATCATTAAAACACAGAGGAGCTATTGTACATAGCTCCTCTGTCTCTATGGCCAGGACTTCCTTGAAAAAGAAATTCTGAAAGTGGGAATATTTTGTAAACATTTTATGTTTGTTTTGGTGTCATATGGACCTTTCGCTGTGTCTGAATCAAAGAATAAAGAAAAAAAGATAAATACATTTTAAAGAATCCCTAAACTAAATGTCAATAATTGGAATTAACGCCATCCCACGTCGGCACCGTGGATGTGTTCACTAATACATCCATGTTGTTCACGGATGAGGATAAAACTATCTTTTTCTGGATAGTTTTTCTTGTTTGTTCATAAAATATTCCTAATGAAATAGAGCCGAGATTCAGTCATTTGAACTATAATGAAAATCTATTGTTTTACAGTTGCAGTGACCAATGAAGAGGCTGGTGTTGGCTTTTGGCCAGCACTGGTCATGTAAAGCAGTCATTATGTCCAGCAGAGGGTGCTCGTTACTCGCCTAAAGTTCAGCAGCAGAGGTCCAAGGTCTATGCCGGGGCCACTAAAATGCTGACTGTTTCAACTGTGTGAGTCTAGTCAATTGGTAATGAGATGAGTGAGTGACAGGAGGGTTTGTAGGGCTTAACCCTTGAATACCGACCGACCCAACACCCTGTAGCATAGATGCTCATTGAGCCTGCCTCAGACAAAGTCACACAAAAGTTACAATACCCCAATAATCTAAATCCTCATCTGCAGGCCTAAACTTGTGTTTGCCATGCAGAATGTGCATTTGAAATCCTCTAAATAAGGGCACTGAGAGCTGTGTTAAAAGCCTTTGATAGAAAAGCCTTGGACAGTTTGAAATCCTCTTAGACCTGAGCTTAGATGCTTCGGTGTCCCCAGGAGGACACACAAATATCCAATCCATCGTTCACATCCGCAGCCTTGTACTCTCCCACAGGAGCAGAGACAGGTGGCACAGCACAAGGATAAGGAGAAGTAAATTAAAGTTCTGCCTGAGATGAGCTGAGAAAAAGACAGAATAAAGACAATTCAACTCATGGGGAAAAGTAAGAAACAATGGGTGTAAAATGCATGTGATTCAGCTGAGGCCTGAACAGTGCATATAATAGACAGATACTTAACATAAAAGTCACACACAGTTAAAACACAAGGTTTAAACCATGAGATCAATGTTAGAGTTTTAGGACTACTCTTGGCCCAGGGTAAAACAAGCGCATATCTGATTACCAGAAGCTCTTATAGTGACCTGGTTTCCAGGGCAACTAATGGAGTGACGTGGTAATAAGCTCTTTGGAAGCTAAAGCCAATTTGCGTCCAAAGATTAGGGCGGATCTGTCTGGATAGATCTGCTCTGGCTCTCGCACCCCGACAGGAGCGCTGTACCCTGCGGATCATGAGGAGAGCCCTAAAAAACACACGCATGCAAACCTGTGGGGTGCTGCCACTGTCTTTATTGTGTCAGGTGTGCAGAGAAAACAAATAGCAAGATATTTGTGGAGGATATGTCACGTTAGCTGTAATTAGCATCACAACACTGCATGGTGTTCAGGTACACTGCATAGGCGTGTCATAATGTTTTACAATTGTACCCCAATTTAACAAAAGTACTAAAAGAAACTACAGGTTTGAATAATTTGACAAATAAACACAAATAAAAAGCAAATATAGATGCAGCACAAGTAAGATACAGCATGTCCATGACGACGATGATGTAAACTGAGTTACATTTCAGAAGATTGAAAAGTTGATGGCAATAAGGATCGAGGATTTCATTGTTTACTTGAATTTACTGAAGTTTTACAGTAACAAATTATCTCGTTGGTACAGCAAAGTACATACAAGCCTCATAACTCTTCCAGAGGACTAAGTCAATAAATTAAGCACATCCACTAAGGGTCAAGTATATGAACTGTAGAAGAACATTGACTGAATGCTCGGTTGATGTGTCAAGTGAAAGTTTTGGTCCAAAGCAGAGCAGGACACAGCAGCATCAAGTCTACAAGTTCAACATTCGCCTTCATTCCATAAAAAAAAAAGAATTTAGAAACCCAACATTGCGCCACTGGGAAATCCAGAGCCCATTCATACCATTAAAAACACACGGCTACCACTCACCCGTTAAGTCGCTCACAGATCACATCGTACGTGTGTGCAGACATGATCTAAGGTTACACTTTTCTCTTCTCGCTCCTTCTTTCGTTTAAATGCATGATATTCATTCACTCCCGTTTGGTTCTTGCTTTCTTTTGCCTTTTCCCGTTTTCCTCCACCTCCTCTGCTTTGCTGTGACCGTTGGTGACCGCAGAGCTGCCGTTGGACACGTGTTTGCCTCCTTTCTGGAATGGTTTTCCTCGGTATGCGTGGTAGTAGAAGTTAGCAAACAGAATGATGAAGGTGACAGCGTAGCCGATCAAAGCCCACTGCATCCAGTTTGGGAATGGGCAGCCTGTGTAGAGGGAGTGCCCCGCATGGCCAATGGTCACGTGGAACTGGATCTAAAAAACAATTCAATGTATATATTTTCATTTTTATTTTTAAGAGATATTTTAAACAATTTGAATAAAAGCATGCAAATATTTACCATCTGAATAATGGTCAGATATTTTTTCCACCAGAGGTACTTCTGCATGTGAGGTCCCAGCGCTGCGAGGCCATAGTATCCATACATAAGAACGTGGATGGACGAGTTGATGGTTGCACCAAAGAAGGCTAAACAGATCACATTAATAGGTATTAAAGGCAACTTCAACTGAACTTAATTCAGGAAATAATAAATGTTTTTGGCCATATGACCCTGTGGCATCTTCTATGTTAAGTATGTTTCATGATAAACAAATTTCAGTTGGATTAAGCATAACCAGTCAAATCTGCTGGAATAGAATAGCTAAACCAATGGTGCGGGCCTCAGCTGTCGACCAATAATTGTGGGTCTAATAAGTGCATGCATTTACAAAAAGTCTCTCCATTTTTACACTTTGGAAATTAACTGACCCACATTATAACATGTATATGAAGTGAAATGCCTTCTCTGCGAGCATATATGAAATGCCCCCACAGAAGGCAGTCCAAAGAATGAAAAATATATAATAAAATGCTATAAATAAGTCTCACTCACCCTGTCCTCCGGGAACCCATTTGATGCCAATCCACCACAGGATGAACATAGTGCAGTGATGGTAGACGTGAAGAAAGCTGACCTGGTTGAACTTTTTCCTCAGAATAAAAAACACTGTGTCCAAAAACTCGACTCCTTTAGAGATGTAGTACCACCAAAGAGCTGAGGCTATCTGCAGAACAAAACATGTGTTAGATTATTGTTTGGCTTTGGCTTCTATGTACAGTAATCTTAATAACAACAAGAGACATTATTGAACTCTTATAAATATTGATGAAATTCAAAAAATACAGTTCAGGATAGGAATGGGCATCACGGGCATTCTGAGTGGAGTTTGCAAACAAAAAATATGTACAATATGTCTGGCATGTGCCTCCTGTACTGGTGACCCCGCTCCCATCTCTGTGTGGAGTGAGTTATAAATGCCCACAATTGTAAACCGCTTCGTGACTCTGGTATGTGAAAGGCGGTATATAAATATAGATTACTTACTTACATTCTGAATCTAACAGCATTTTTATTGTACTCAATAAAATGACTGTATTCATTGCTCTTATTTATCTTCTTTTTGCCTTAGATTTGAGTGGCCTACACATTTATGCATACATTTATAAATGGATTGTGTGACATGTTTGGCTCCTTACCCTGACTTCATTGACATCATTGGAGTAATTGACAGGCTGACAGAGGTAGCTGTATCTGGCTGCTCTTGAACCTATTAGTAACTGTTTGTAAAAAAAAAAACATAAAGTAAAACAAAGGGTATTTTTTGGCTTGCAAATCACAATAGACTTGCAGTGAGACAGACCTCTTTGGCGATATAGAAGTTCAGGACCACCATACTGAAGTTGTAGACTATGAGGGTCTTTCTGAGCGTATAGGGCTGTCGATCCTGCATGAATCGGGGGCCGGCCCACAGGAAGAGCAGGTAGAGGCAGCTGATAGCCAGGGTGGGGAAGGGAGACCCCATCATGGGCCAGGCCTCCACCCTCTTGTCTGCAGCAAAGGAGAAATGTTAACGCACATTTTTTTAAAACACACAAGCAGAAGCAGCGGAGAAGACTGACCTGCTATAGTAAGGCTCCATTTGTAAAATACTAGACTGTCGTTTACAAAATGTGTAACGACCTCCATTGCTTTGCCGTTGCTCTCGTTTACACTATAAAAAGAGGAAAACAGGAAGAAGTTAGTAATATGTTACGTTCTCTGGTCAGGTGTCATTTGTAAATATATATTTTCATTGTAGAAGTTTATCCCAATTTGTCCCAATCATACAGATGTTTCTGCTGCTTTGCATGAAAGGGTATGTAAATACGTTTATTTCAAAATGTAGAACGTTTGTAATGGATGAGTAGCTCAGTTGGGTTGGGTTGATGTGATTGGGCACATGTTTTTTTCTTTTTCTTTCATGAACTGTGTAGTATGCCTTTAAAAAGCATGTGATTGCTCAACTTCTCCATAAACTTGTCCAATGAAGTGATCTTACACTCTATATTCAAAAGCAACAGGAAAAGAAAGCTCTGGATAGAATATTTGTGTTTCATTTGAGCAAAACTAGACTCTCTAGACTCCAGCTATACGCATACAGCTCAACACACTGTTATCTGACACCAGTTGCATGTTATTAATCTATAATTAATCCCTTGATCAGCTGTTCTTTCAATTATTAAAGGCCCTGTGCAGAGGGACACAGGGCTCAGACATAGAGTAAATGTAGTGTTTTGGGACAGTTTAGACCGGCTCTGCTGGAGGAAGCAGAGGATGGAGCTGTTAGTCGCGGATGCACGCACAAAAAGACTGGGGCGCATGTGTCAGCAGGTTTCCATCGCTTCGCTCAAGAGGCTTACATTCAATTGATCAACGAGCTTAGACTCAGACCTAAATGCTCAGCGACCCACGAACCTGTTCTGACGCTTATCTCAACATGTGGCACCCTCTTCCCCCTATAGGCCGTTCTGAAGCCCACTCATTTATCTATGGAATAATAAAATAGTAACTTGATAGTTTCTCTGTGTCCACTGTTCTCTTTGGTCCAATAACAGGTGCGCGCAGCTCAACTACTGCAAGAGGATAACGCGAGATTAGCAGAAATGACTGAAAAAGCCCCTCTTGTTACGAGAGAGGTGCAAAAGCATTTCTTTATGACAAAGAGCTAGAGTTTGGGGACAAATAACATCATTCTCTTCGATCGTGCGCTTCTCAAAAGGCGCACTTGGGAGGTTTACGCAGCAGTTACGCACACAAAACACTGCCACTCTGATTAAATGATGAGGCTACTTACGTGCTCGAATATTACGGGCGTGTAATGACATCCGGTGCAATTAGGAGCCCAACTCCTCTCAGTCTGTGCTCTGTAGCTGCTTATGTGTCAGAGCAGACCCCCGCAGCTCCAGTTTGACAGGAACACCAACTTTGGCACACAAAAAAAAGAACAAGGCAGATGTAAAATTGTACTCTACAATTGACTATTTACGCGTTGCGTCCGTTCAACAGCGGCGGCTCAATAGCATCATCTTGCTGTCTCCAAGACACTGAGATGCCGGATCGGTGTGCGCATGCGTATTGACGCTCCCCTCATTTCTCGCGTGCGCACGCTCTTGACAGGAGCGTGGACATATGGCGCGCGGCTTTGTCAGCCATAAAGGCATCTGTTGAACAAAGGTGTTTAAAGCAGACCCTTCAGTGCATCAGTATGTGTTCTGCAGCCTGTTGCACACCGGACATCCCGCACGAAGCCCCAAACGGCCTCTTTATAGCTGATCAAAATGTTTAGAGGAAGCTAATGTGACCATTTTCCCTTTTCGTATCGTTGTTTATTGCAGAAATATGACTCAAGATGGCGCCATCGAGCCGTGATTAAAACTCAACCCCCTCTACAGCCTCCTGTTGATAAGACCAGTTTGTATATGATGACATACAAATACACCTTTGTCTTAGACCAGTGTTTATATGTACATTAACAAGATATTTTTAGGTTCTCATTTTAATATTTTTGTTGTAATATTGATCTGTAAGCAGTGAAGTAGCTGCTTACAATTCAACATTGACTATTGACCCGATATCTCCCCCCTGTGGATCACCGTGATCATTGCATTATTTGGTGAGTCACTTTTCTGCTTACATGAAGTGTGTTATCTGTGTGGTCTCTGATCTGGCACATTTGGCAAACCTCAAATCTGGCAAACCTCAAGTTTGCAGAACTATAATCAAACACACTAAGGCTGAACTTTTGGACTGTTCTGACCATATCTTGAGAGCACTGATTGTACTCTTGTAAACACTTAACATTAGAACATAGATTTACCGTCCAGTTCAAAACTTTTTTGTTGTTGTTTTTAATTCAAAACGACAAGTGCCAAATAGTCCAGTCAAGTGTGTTTGCTTACACGGCGTCGGTCTGATGAAAGCAACACAAACAGATGATCAGATTCCACTCGCTCCATCTGAAACAGCTGATTGATTATACAGGTTTGATCATTTATGGACAACGCCAGTGCTAATCATAATAATAACTCACGTCATCTCTCCATGAAATATGTCAAGTTTACTGTTTCTGTCCCTTTCTGTTTAGTTGTTATGATAAAATGTGTTTAAGTGGGATATTACTTCTACTACTACTTCCCATTACTTTTTTCAGTTTATTATTTGTCCATGTTTCAGTATGCATTTTTATACGAGCATTATACCGTACTATATATTTTTCATAATCAATGTCATTAGTCTATAGGTTGTTCAACATCTATTCTATTTCCAAGTGTTGTTTTTTGTTTTACTGCTTCCAAGACACTGAAAAGCTCCTGCCCTAAGCTCTATAAAGCCCTCCTATGAGAGATGTGTTATTAAGCCGTGATTTATGCTGGAACAGTGTACCAGCAGCAGATCTGAAAGAGGGAAGTTTCCTTCTGTAGGGCACATTCACGGCCAAACACCTGGAACCAGCACATTTTTTCACATACCTCCAGAGCACAGCCGTCTTATAAAGTCCATTTTAGAAATAGCTCTTTCAAAAACGTTGTACTTTCTGGCAGGAAGTAGAAAGTTTTTGCAGGCAGTCATGGGCATTGATCATTAAAACATCTCCATAGACATAAGCTCCCCGCCCCTTTACAGTATGTGTCATTGAGAAGTATAGATTGGAAATACATTGAAATCATCACAGCAGCATTTTACAAATCACTGTCACTTTAAAATCCAAACCAGGGACATGGAAATAAACAAAATAGCTTACCGTAATTTTGTGCCAATGTCTTGTCCTGTCCCTGAAAATGAATACATGTGTTGCTGTGTTGTGCTACTATCTTGATACTCCTCTTTCTTTGCTCATTTGAAAGAGGAGTAAACATGAAAACAACTCAATATTTTGAGTGATATACCACACATATAAAGCTAAAAAATCTGGTTAAACTGACGGTGTAGAATAGGACAGGCTCGAATAAGGATTGCTTCTGCCAATTCTTTAAGTTATATCATACTGTATGCTTGAATTGTAACTTTGCTGACGTGACGACGTGACGGTGTAGAATAGGACAGGCTCGAATAAGGATTGCTTCTGCCAATTCTTTAAGTTATATCATACTGTATGCTTGAATTGTAACTTTGCTGACGTGACGACCGAAATTAAATCAATCAATCAATATTTTAAGATTAAAAGATCCTTTATTTGTCCCACATTGGGGAAAATTTTTTGCATCACCAGTTGCAAAACAGTAGGAATGAGGAGCACACAACACAAGATACAGCCTATGAACAATTCTATACTAAATAAAATAACATAAAATCAAAAAAGAAACCAGTAAAACGTCTCTATCTTTAGCATAATGAGTACAAAAACTCTGACTTTAGAATAATTAAGAAGAATAAAATATCTACCTTTGGCATAACAAGAACCAAGTATAAAGTACTGTGTATTCTAGTGCAAGTAATATACTGTATATTTGTATGTTTACGTCTGTTAGCAGTGAGAGGGGATGGGACAAAGTGACTAAGTAGAGCAACAGTGGACACATGTGGTTCTATATAAAACATTCTGACATTATTAGAGTTATTATTATGCAGTGCTACCTGTAAAACAGTAAGGAAAACTTATTATTGATGATATATATATTTTTTCAACTTAAACCTTTTCTACTCAATGTTTTCCCGTTTGCCGCTGACATCTGCAGCTTGGTTCTGTTTCGGTTAAGGCAACATTGTAGAAAGTCATGTTTTTGTTAAGCGTATGAGAAATAGTTATTCCACTATGACTCCGACAGATTCGTCTCTCCTGGACGATCGTTTTTTGGAAAAATTGAGGACTTTCTGTGAATGATTGCTCTGCTTATACAGTTAAGCCCAGCACCTATTGCCACATGGGGTTTGATTGATTCTCTCATATTGAAACTTACATCATGCTTTTCTTGTGCAGTCCACGAGCCAATGTTTCCAAATCACTTTTTTACTCATTATAATCGGAGCTCGCTGTTTGTTTATTGAACCACGTTGGAAATTCATCCAGACAGGAGACTAAACATGAGTAATTTTCAAAGACATTGTAAGCTCGTGTGAAGGAGGTTTGGATCAGCTCCTGTAGACATCCAGCTACAGGGGCGGGATACACTATACTCTGCATTCCCAAACTGGGGGTCGGGGCACACATTTTTTCAGGGGATGTCCAAAGGGAAAGAAAAGAGGCCCATATTATGTGAATTTTCCGGCAATGAAGCAATCAAAGGCACATTTTTGGGTCAGCAACATTACACACTGATGACATTACAGACAGGACACTAATAATGTTTTATTCATGGGGCAGGATTTCTTTCAGAGTCTGCCAACACGATAAATATCTCAATAAGGCTCATTCCACACTAAACTGTACTAACGTGTTACATGTGGGTCAATGACACAAAAAAGTCCCGAAATATTAACGGCCGCTACAGCTGAATATTCACAGACCCCAATTTTATTCCAGTAAAGCGGGGCAGTACTTAAACACAGATTCATTCACGCCCGTAGTATTGACAGCTCTCCAAGACCACCGTTATGGATGTAACAAAAGTAGACACAAATGTTTCGTCCAAAATGCCCATTTTGTCTGCAGTTATTGAATAA